TTGCTTCTTGCATCAAAATATTATTTTTTAGAAGAGTTGTAAATAGTAGAATAAAATACTAAAGTAAAAAAATCATATTTCGCTGCTTTTGAACTGGTTCGTTTTTGGCTATAAAGATCCAGTACGGAACAAAAAAAAATGGTTCACTGGGTCGGGGTTTCCCTGCAGGGTACATACATATGTACATAAGATATACTTATACTGCAGCATACCCTGTAGGAAAAATTCGAGGTAGCGCAACAAGTTTTTAGCCAATGGCTAAAATATTTTAAAATGTGAAAGTTTCGAGTTTCCGCAGCTCAGGGCAGGCTACTTTTCGTTTTAAATACTCAACTAGAAGCCACGAAGACAATAAATCCCTGAAATCATTTTGCAAAACTGGAATGTGTGTATTTAAGATATTTTTCAAAAAAGTTGTCCAAGATTCATGTAAAGGGGGAGCTGGTGAGCTGCAGTATCTCATCCATCCAAAGTAGGCAATCGAAAATTTTCAGGTTATTCTAGGCGCACACAAGCAAAGGAAAGCAGAACGGTCGATCAAGTGTTTGTATTTGAAAATTCCGCTAGAAACTCAACTCACGAAACTCAATAGAAACGTCGTGTAAACAAGTTTCCCTGTTTTTCCTCGGCTAAAGCTGCGCTAAGTTTTCATATGTTTGGGTACTGAGAACCTTACAGACACGAACGCCTTTCGATTTTGTAGTCTACACAAAGAAACCACTAGACGTAAAGTCGGTCGCCTAGATGGCGTCACACTTAATATATGGAATATAAACTCCATGAAAGAGGTAAGCTACATACATAGTATATGTAGGAAAGTTCATGGTTGACAAGTTAGCCAAATGGGTACCCTCGAAATTATGTTACCCTGCAGGGATCAGATCGGAGCTCTACTTATTTTTTGTGCAGATAGGCCCCATTTCACTCAGCAAAGTCTGGGAGAAAACTAGTTCTCGGTTTTGGTGAAGGTTCCGACAGGTCAGTGTCTGATCGGAGCTCCCGCTTTAAAACTAAATATCTCGTCTGGCCGTGGTAATTCAGCAGTTTCATTAAGAATAACGAGCTGGAATCACCTCATCGATTACATATTTTTAGCTAACCTTGAAAGTGGCGCTAGACGGTCTATCATTTTCATCAAACGCTAAAATCAATCAATGGCATCAAGCATGAGTTACCATTGAGGAGAACCATTCATGCTTGAGACACGTGTTGACTGTTACTGATAGGAAGTTTGAAAGACACAAGTAGTTGACAAGTTTGCTGAAACACATAAATCAATTTTAAACAAGCATCTCTGATTTTTAAGAACTCTCTTTACTTTCATTTGGGTAATATTAACTCAGGAAAAAAATTAGAACTCATTTGGTCCGTACCAATGAAATTGCTGTAGTCTGCTTGTTCCGTATTGTGCAGAACGTAAAATAAATTTTCATGCGTGAAGGGGTTTTCTCATTTATACCACTACTACCCTCTTAACTTGTTTTTTTTTTTCTTTTGTTCAGCGTAAAAGTAACCAATGTCAAAGTTCAAATGTTATTTCCAACAATTTTAAACGCTTGAGACACTTCAAGACAGACCTTCCGAGTCGGAAGACTCAACTAAAAATTAATTTTCGCTACACGATTGCTGAGTTGATTCAAGCGATCGTTTATCGATGAACAGGGCTGTGTGATCAAGCATTTTGGCTTGCATAGGCTCGGCCTAAGAAACTTTTGTCGTTTTCGTATTGTATGATGTTATTGTGCAGCATCTCATCAATTGAATAGGGATCACCGTTACAAATTAAATGGAATTACAAAGGACAACCCAGCCCAATGTGCCCTCCAAAGGGAACGACTACCGAAACCTAACCTAGCCTAGCTATTACATATCCTCAACTCATTGAACTGTGATTAAAGATTGATTGCCACTAATTAAACGACTTTCGTCATGCTCGTAGATACATACATATCTGCATATTTCCCAAGGGAGCGGCTTTCCAGTAAACAGCATGCAGTTGATTTCCCAACGGGGGCGCTCGTAACAAAACATACTATGCGTCAACTTGCTAACACATGCAACAAAATATTTCTCTGTGTATCTATTGGCTTTCCCATTGAATTAATCGCATGTGCAACATTCGAACTCTGCCATCGATTAACCACCACCAGTTTCACAAGTTCATCAACGCCTTCCAAAGTCAAATTGCCCCAGCTGCCTGAGTTATATGGTTTGGTATACTCAATTGCTCTTGTTTTTTTTTTGCTATTGTTGTTGTTGTTGCTATGGGTTTATTTTCATTTTTCTTTAAATTTTTTTTTTTTGTAGTTCAAATGTTTTTGTTGTTGTTGTATTTATTGTGCCTCTTTCACAGCTTGCGCGCTAACCCAAACTGGTTGCGCGCATTTCGCTTTCAGTTCACTATTGAAGCGCGCGTCTTAGTGAACAGTTGGTTTGGTAGACGACCAGCAGCAGCCAACTTACCGCTTAACTTTGGTAAAACTATAAGTTCAATTTTCAGTTTGAAAAAAAATAAAAAATTAACAACATTTTCGCACTTACAGAATATTCAGTTGCAAGTAAAAAAAAAAATAAAATAAAATAATAATAAATGCAGTGTGACTGAGAAATACTTTGCGTCCGGTCCATTATAGCCGCTAAACGGTTGCTACAAATGATTCTCACGCACATACATACATACATACCTGGCGTGAAAACTGTAAATAATTGCTTAGAAATATTTTAAAACATAGTGGCAAATATTGAAAGCAAAAGTTCGAAAATCAAAAAAAAAAAAACAATAGACTTTATCAGCTACCGGTATTTCCTTTAACTCGAACGCAAAATTGTGGGAGTCTATCTCTCAGCCGCATTTTATCTTTACATTGTATGTATGTATGTACTACATTCCACACCGCTGTCAGCGCGGAATCAATCGGTATCGAGAACGACGGCTTTGGCGGCGGCAACAATAATTATTGTCCAATTGTGATTTCTCGCGTAAAATAGCAAATGCAAACAACGACAACAACAACAACAACAACAACAATAGCATAACAGACAGTGGCAACAAAAAAGCGGCGTACAATGTACGCTTAACAAAAAATAAAAACACAACAACAGCAAAAAAAGGTGTACTCGTACAACAATTTTGTTAGCAAATTTTCTACACAACTTTAGTTAAGGAGTCGAACGTAACGGAAATTTTCTCTAGTACTGTATGCAAACATAAATTGCAGTTGTTGTTGCTGTTGCTGTTGTTAGATGAAAAATTAACATAAATATACGAAAACGCGTACAATTCAGCTACAATTCGTGGACTGACACAGCGTCGAACTGTCGTTGTCGTTGGCTTGGAGTCGAGATTGCGCACGCATTGCCGCCAGTGGCAAAGCCAGTGAAGTCAATATTTGAAGTTGCAAAGTTCGCTGACAAATTATATACATACATACTACATACATATGTAGTACTTCTTTATTATCTGATTTTTTTTTTTTTACAAGATATTTGTAACTATTTACTTACAGTAGTGTGTGAGTGCTTTTTTTTATGTGACAACAAAGTGTGCTAAATAAACGACTTTAAAAAAGTTACTAAAACACTTCAAGCGGCAAATTTGTTGCCAAATATCTGATCTAAATAAATACATAGCTCCAGCTACTCACTGAGTATACGAGTATAAATGTATGTATGTTGAAAGCCTCTGTGAATGACCGCCAAATAGTTGAAACTATTACAAGCAAAAAAAAAAAACACTTTTAAAGTAAACAAAAATTACTTCACTTGAAGTTTGTGTTGTGAAGTAATCGCGCTATTAGGTAATTTGGATTTTTTACAATCATGCAGACCTTAAACGCTTCAGCGCTACTCGCTTTGATCTGCTGTAATGGTAAGTTGAACAATGTCAACACATTTTGCTAAAACAATAAAATTAAATAAATACACAAAGTCGCTTGCAGTCGTTTGTTTTGCAATATTTATTTATTTTCCAAAAAAAAAAAAAAACAAAAAATACACCAGAAAAAAAATCGCCGTATATGCAAAAATACACAGCATTATCCATTATAGCTAAGATAAAGTAAACTTAAAAAATACACACACACACTGAAAATTTAAATTTTCATAGGATCTTTATTTCATAAATAGAAATCAATAGATTAGGTTAGGTTAGGTTAGGTTAGGTTAGGTCGGGTTAGAGTGCCTAGCACCACGCAGCACACGAATACACACGTGGCACAGTGGTTCGAACAGCAAATCTAGCTGAACGAAAGTCAAAATTTTATTTCTTTTTAAATTACTTTATGACTAGCAGACCTGGCGAACTTCGCCCCGCCCAAATATATATTTTTTTTATTGAAACATTTTAGCCAAAGATTTTCACTAACAATTCACGGTCACGATTTATATGCAAAAATTATGGTTTGGTGGTCCGAAGGCATACTTCCAACATAGTCTTAAATAACCCAACGAAAGTGTATTGTCCGCGAAGAAGTTCTTGGTATTTCCGCCAATGATCTGGAGTTTCACATCACGGTTAATCGTACAGCGATATATATTTGAAGATCTTTTCCCTTTTCACTCCTTGGCCGCTTCGATAGTGAATCCCTAATTGCATGGCTGAGTATCGTTGCTCCAAATCCAATATAAATTGACTTATTTCAGACGAAATACCTTAAATGCCTTATCAAGGAGCGCAATAGTTCTGGTGATTGATTTAACGGAGGTCATTTGAGATTGACCCCTGGACAAGTCAATCCTGCTGTCTCCGAATGAAGCTTTAACGCAGAGTACTACTGATAAATCATATCCATTGGGACAGTTGGAAAACACGGCAGTTTTGACAAACTCAGTGGTGCAGCAGGTCGACGTAAACTTAAGAAGAGAATAGCGGGACAAGCTTTAAACAAAACATAGAAATCGAGTTGCTGTAAGGAGAAGAGTTGCAGTTGCTTTAAAAGTTTTAAGTGGTGCATTTTTCCTACTTATAGGAGGAAATATTTTTAAATAGCAAGGTTCTAAAACAAAATCTCTGAAAAGGGGCGAAAAATCCAAATTTTCAAAAATTCGGGCCAAAGAGTATTGGCGCCTAAAAAGGGTCAAATTGCCCCTTTAGTCGCACAACAGCAACACTGGCTTAGAGATCCACCATTCGAAGATATAATATTATTTCCAAAGATTTTATGTGTGTAGTTGGTAGTGCTCCTGTGCGAAGCAAGGCAGCCGTCCTCTGTACCCGTTTCACCTTGGCTCTGGACAAACTTTCGTTTAACGCAAGCCACCAGTTGTTCGCGCAGATGTGGATTGTTACATCCAGTGTCCTATATATGTATACATATGAGGTTTTAGTCCCAATTTTAGCGATCTTACAGGCCTTCGTGGAGCGATCTCCAATATTTCGCTTCGCAGATTTCTAGTCTAGAATAATTCAAGGTTATTTGACCTCGGTTGAGACAGTAAGTGCCACTGCGTTTATGTTGTCCTTAGATTACTCAATAGTTGTGGGATTTTCGCATAGTAAGTGCCTTTCGCATAACTTGGCAACAAGAAATCTAAAGGTGTGAAATAGCGAGATCTGGGTGGCCAAGTCCCATAGCCGATTTCCGATATATCGCTTTTTGGGGAATTTCTCCTGCAGTAGCGCATAGATGGTTGCGTTGTGTTGTTAAGACCACATTTCTTCCAGATCAACATGTTCAATTTGATACCAAAACTAGTCATTGATCATAGCGGCACAGCGCTGAGAATTGACGGTTACGGCGGCAACCTAATAAAAATTTAAATAATTCCTTCTTGATTTCACTGGAAAGAGAAGCACACTATAACTACGAAGGCTTTCTTCTTGAAAAAAAGGCCATAGAGATATCTTCTAACTTTTATTCTACTTTATTTTTACTTTTAGAGAATTGAACGCTCTACAATAAAGGTCTGAAGTATTTTTCGACTTTGATCTCGAATAACTTCTGGCCGACTTTTTTTGTAAAGCGTTCAATTCTCTGCAAAAATACTCTAAGACCTTTATAGTGCAACATATCGTTCGTTAAGTATAAAAATCAGAAGTAAAAAAAACAAATTTTCCTGTGTTATTTTTACGCGAAATCGAAAAGTGCGATGCTGACATTCTTAATATTAATATTAAGGGCTCATATTTTCTGAGACTTATTTTGCCGTCTAAACGAAACTTTTGAGCATGGTTCTGAGGAAAAAAATAAATCACCCTAATACATATATCCCTATGATTTTCAGGTCAGAGTAAGGAACGTCAATTATTTTTTTATTTTATTTCTTCTCTGTCCTTTTCCTCTACTCGTTTCAACGATTTTTGGTATGAATTTTGCTACGTTATGACTTTGTACATATTGACAAGTGCACAAAAATTTTTGATTCTAGATTAATTCACTGAATTCGATTACATAGCTACCACATGCGAAAATATTTACCAAAAATTTAAACTAAATAAAAATTTGCTA